GATTCAATCGTTTGGTCTTGTATTCACCTTGGAACACAGATCTGGGATGTTACCTGGTAGTGTAGTACAGGACACCCCACAGTATTATGAATTAATCCATTACCACTGGTTTGACCCAGCTGTTTGGTCTTGTATTCACCTTGGAACACAGATCTGGGATGTTACCTGGTAGTGTAGTACAGGACACAGGTCTAGGATGTTCCTGGTAGTGTAGTACAGGACACCCCACAGTATTATGAATTAATCCACTATCGCTGGTTCGATCCAGCTGTTTGGTCTTGTATTCACCTTGGAACACAGATCTGGGATGTTACCTGGTAGTGTAGTACAGGACACAGGTCTAGGATGTTACCTGGTAGTGTAGTACAGGACACAGGTCTAGGATGTTACCTGGTAGTGAAGTACAGGACACCCCACAGTATTATGAATTAATCCATTACCGCTGGTTCGATCCAGCTGTTTGGTCTTGTATTCACCTTGGAACACTGATCTGGGATGTTTCTTCCTGCTTCTGATTATTGTGATATCTCATGTAAGTTTTTCCTCTATGTAGAATGCTCAGTTGTTTGCCTGTTATATAATGGCTAATTGAGCAATTCTACATTCTATTCACCTTAGCAACATTTTAGCACAATGCTAAAGATTTTTATGACACTTTATTTTGCTCTACTTGTTTTCCTGACAACAAATATCATAATAATATTGGGTGAAGAGTATTCTCTACTTGAGAGGGATGTTATCTTCCATCTAATACAGCCCCACTAGGCTAATTACCATCTAATACAGCCCTATTATGCTGTCTCCCATCTAATACAGCTTTACTAGGCTTCTTCCACTTAATACAGCTCCACTAGGTTATCTCCCACCTCATGGATATCACATTCCATGGGCTTTTCTTTTCTGATGCTGTTTTTAGAAAGGGACTTATCTTTGTAATTTCTTTCTTTGTGACAGCCTCTCCACCATTTTAAGTGTGGGGTTATAACTCTGTGGTGCAGAGAGGAGAGGAGAATTTCTGAATTTAACATTTTCCTTACCCGAGAATGTATTTCAGATAGATAATCACCTCTTTACACCACTTCCTTCCTACTTCCGATTTATTTAGTTTACCTTGTCAAGAATGAACCTCTGTTCAAGTGCTAGTGCTCATGGGGATTATTGTGCATGAAGGATGTTGCTCTCTTATTGGTGGAGAGCTGTAATCTAATGATAATTAAGTCATAGGCTGGCATAATACATGTTGATGCATGTAAGGGTGGGAGCTTTGTTCAAGGCTTGTTGCTTACACAAGAATTTCCATGGCAGTGTGTGCAAGGTGAAGGTTTTTTGTGGTTTATAGTGGTAAAGAAACTGTTAACATCATGACATTTTCTGTTCATTAGAAAATGTTTCTTTGCTCTGTGCATTTTATAGGTGACAGGAAGTGCAAGAGAATCTCATATTTTAGAAGCATTAAGAAGATACTCTCTAAGGCCTTTGTATATACAGAAGTCATTATATTACTTGTACAATTACACACAGAGTTATTCAGAGCCGAGAGCTGATGTGATCAAAGTAAGTTCAAGTTTTGTGTTATTTATAAATAACTTTTCACTTTTGCTAAATGTTATTGAATAATGATGAGGCTATTAGATGTCACTAATTAACAGCATGCTGCCGTAGGTGGGATGAGCTCACACCTCTGTAAAGTACAAGAGTGGGAACAAATATTTCTGTGTAAGTCTGATGTGGAGCTGCTATTGGGTCATATCAATAGAAATATCAGAATTTTTGTAATAATGATAATAGTAATCATCCTGTTTTCACTTTAGAATTTACAAATATAGATTCTTGTTATGTTAATGTTAATAATGGTTATTTTTCTCTTTTGGAAGTGTTTAATGTAGGTTGTTCTTATAGTAATGTCTGTTTAAAGTTCTCTTTACTACTACTAAATACTCCTATTATTATGATTTGTGTTGAAGGTTTGTTTCATTTTTTTTACACCTATAAAACAAAGATTGTTATAATAATGATGATAATGTTTCATTTTCTTTTTACACTTATGAAACAAATGTTGTTGTTGTTATAATGTGATAATAATGTGTTTTTTTTATTATTAAAACTATTAAATAAATATTCTTGTTATAATATTTTGTGTTGAAGGTTTGTTTCATTTTTTTACAGTTATCAAACAAAGCATATTGTTTTATTCATCTTTATAACATTTATCTTAGCTCATTCTTCCAGGGATGAGGAAACATCCCAGAGTTCTAGCAATTCAGATGGCAGCTACAGCTTGCCTATATAACTTGTCCAAAGGAAACCTTGGCCAAAAGATTCATCCCCGCTGGCTTGGAGAAATTGTTGATCTCACACTTACAGCCATGGAAAATTATCCTACGCACCAACAGGTACATTTACTTTTGACCTTTAAATGTATCTTATTTATTGTGTGTAATGTTTTATTCTTTTCTTTCAGATTTCTAGATTACTTAAAAAGAAAAATTTACATTATATCAATTTTTGAAGTACTTGTAATAAAATGTATATACAGTGTACTTAAAAAAAAAGATGGTTATAAATGAAAAGTGTTTTTGTAATATAAATACTGTCTTATATAGGAACAGTTTGTTATAAAAGGTTTTGGTTTCTTTCCCTGTAGCTTCAGAAAAACACACTTTTGACACTCTGTAGCGACAGAATTCTCCAAGATGTGGTAAGAAAAGTAAAACCAATTATTATTTAATATGATATAGCTTTCTTCTATTACATAACATCAGTTACTTATCTTCAAATCACTGAGATAAAGGAGCAAGTTACTACATGCCACACATGAAAGTAATCATCTTTTCAAGGTAATTATGGGTTTAGATATGTACAGTGATTAATATAATTGTTTTACAACTTTGTGCTTAAACTAGAATTGTGACAATATTTACTTCGATATCATATGGTTGGAAAACACTTTTGTACTTAAACTGTTCCAAATTTAAATTGAAGACAGGGTAGATGCATCCGTGAAATACAAAACAAAACTTTCCTTTATGGAGTTCCTCTCATGCTGTCAGTAAACATGCAACTAATGTATTGAATATTCTTGAGAGTATGTGTCAACTTATCCATAGTTCTCCACACTTTCACATTGCTTGCAACAGGATGACATGTACAACATCTGCATTCCCTCCATAATCCAGACTTTTGTGTTGACATTTTTGCTGTCAACTTTGCTACAATGAAATTGGAAGTTAATATTAATTTGGATGAAAGTACTTCCAACAGTATCAGAACTTCTAAAACTTCTTTGGAGGTCTTACTCACAAATCTACAACTAGTATGCAGAGTGATCCTGTGGCTGGATTGTCAGTCCTTATTAACCCTCTTTCCATGGGCAGCTTTTTCTGTGCATGTCATGAGGTTTTAATTAGTTACATTCAAAATTTAATTAAACTACTCTTTTCTAGCTTATAAGTTGTAAGCTTTTACTTTTATATGGCAATATTGAAAAAAAAATCCTGAATTTCCTCTAATATGAGAATTGTGACATTTTCTCTCTAGGCATCCCTTCTTCTCTAATTTATTTACCACCCCTCCAAGAAGTAGGAAAAATGTAATGTAAATTACTCATTATAATGTTGTCATCACTCAGGCAAAGCATAATTTTTATATTTTTGAATTTTATTTGTTACAGAGCCATGAAATAAGATAATCAGACCCTTCTTGCCAGGTTCACCTGTCACATCCTCACTTTCAGAAATTGCCTATAGTTCTCTCTGATGTTCAATACTATATTACTTATAACCAATAGAAAGCCAAGGTTATACTCTTTCAATGATGTATCATGTTACATTGTTTTCTGTACAGAGAATTGTAGATTTAGCTTCTAGTTAAAGCTTTATTCTCAAGGAAAACACATTGACGAGCTTAGATGAATATATAACAGCTCTTGTTGCATTGTTATAAAGCCAGTAAAATTGTGATAGTTATGTGGAATTGTCTACTTTTTGCATGTTATTATTTTGTGTTCTTTGATGTATTATTTAATTAAATAAAACATTATTGAGTGCAGTATTATCATTAGTATAAAAAAAGTATGGTTAAGTGTCATCAACAGCCAAAAAAATATATAGATGCGGGTAAGTACTTTATATCTTGTTTTTCAATTGAAAACTTTATAAGTGAGTTAAAGTTAGATTATGTAAAATAAATAACAATATAATAAAAAAATTTCATGAGGTACGCTTGTGAGTAGCTCGTATGTAATGTAATTTGATATTGTAATGAGAGCTGTACATCTGCCAAGTGACTTGCAACTTATAATGGCATGAATAGTAGTTAGACAGGTTTCAAAGGGCATTAAAACAATAAAATTTAAGTATAAGTAGATGTATACTGTTACGAGTTTAAAATTATTTAGAATATACAAATGTAGTTTAATTTTACAATTCGAAGTCATTCTAGAAAGAAAAAGGGTAATTAAATATATTTCGATTTTTTTATTTATTTTTTGGTTGTTACAAGGTCGGTCAAATTGACCAACTTTGTACAGAGTTAGGGTAGAGAAAATAATGGATAAAATATGAAGTTTTACTGGAAAAAAATGCTTGAAATTTACTTAGAAGGTTTGACAGATTATGCAAATAAAATTTTAGATTAGATGAAGAAAAGTATTTTTAATTTTAACATGGAAGCCACTTTGCACTTGGACTAGTAAAAAAAAAAAGACTGTATTTATTCACACACAAATCTTTAGCAAAAATACTTCATTAAGAAATCTGATTTTTTGTGTACAAAAGACTTGTAATGTGTGCTAAAAGTCTGCCAGATTTTGTATATATATATATATATATATATATATACACACACACACTATATTAAAAGTTATAGTATGGAAATTGTA